AATAAAATAAAATAAACATCTATTATTATTAGAAAAGAGCGTATTTAATGTATATTTAAACATAAAAATCTTTAATTTATGATTGAATAGTTTATTTCAAATTATTTACATAACTTGTATTATACAAATCAATTGCAGAAATATAAAATAATTTTTTTTTTCCGAATGGCGAAGAGCAATATTATTAAAATTCAGTGTACATGTGTTACACAACCCGTATACAGTTTCAAGTCAAGAAAAAATTTCCCTTGCACCAAAAAATCCAGAGAGATATAAAATCCTTATTAATGCTTGTACCAATCATTAGCTGTATAGAAAGGCTTATATATTGGGCTCTAGCCCTGGCTTATTCTCTCATATTGTATTCATCATCACTTAACAAAGAATTCCTTTCATTGTACACTCTCTTCTTAATTAATTTATTTCTTATATATTTCAAAACATCTGCTTTAGTAGTTTCCTTAATCATTCTTAATTTATGGCTGCTTCCTCCTTCCCATGTTGGAAATATGATGTCTTCTTGTGCTTCAGAGACGAAGTCCGCAAGAATTTCTTGAGTCATCTCTGTTGTGCTTTAGACGACAATGGATTTAGGGCCTGTAAAGACGATGAACTTGAAAGGGGATTCGACATTGCCACTGAGCTGCAGCAAGCGATCGAGCAGTCTAGAATTGCCGTTGTCGTGTTCTCAAAAAACTTTGCTGATTCCGAGTGGTGCCTAGACGAGCTTGTGAAGATCCTTGACTGCAGGCGAAGGTTAGGACAGATTGTTCTACCCATTTTCTTCCATGTGGATCCCTCAGACGTCCGAAACCAGAGTGGGAACTTTGGAGATGCGTTTACCCGTCACCAGGAGGTTCCTTTGGAGATCGTGAAGAAGTGGAAGAATGCTCTTACTTATGCAGCCAATCTGACCGGGTTTGACCTACAGCATGTCAACGGGTAATCTAATCTTGTATATATTCATCACTCCTCTTTTCCCATTTTTGATCCTTTGTCTTCATCATATGAACAATTATTATTTGAATAAATTGATTCTCCTGTTTCATTTTTTTAGTACAACAAAAATTAATTGCTTTTAGTGTTGAAAAGATTTGAATCTAAACATTTAATTCTGAATTAAGGCTTTTATTTTTTATATTAATAGATATCAATTTAGCCCAACTTTTATTGATAAAATTTTCTTGACTGCTTAAAAAAAAAAAAAAAACTTTACCTCCTTACCGTGCATGCTGATCAAATTTTCTTGGCTGATCATTAAAAAAAAAAAATTAACAATAAAAATTCACTTAATCTATAAATTATGTGGATTCTTAGAACTGAAAAAATGTACAAATAAAAAATGCTAACTTTGTATTTTTTTCAACGTTAATCTATAAATTAACAATAAAAGGATATTTTTTTTGATCAGCCAAATAAAAGGATATTAATTTTGTTAATTTTTAAATAAAAATATTAACAATTTCAATCTTTTTTACTTAAGAATGTCAACTTTGAATTTATTTTTTATTTAAAGGTATTAACTTTTTAAAAAAATCCATTTGCTACGTCAATATCATCATCTAACTAATTATTGAATAGAACAAGTGAAAAGTTAATATTTTTAAATAAAAAAATTGAAAGTTAATATTATTAAATAAAAAAATTAAAAGTTAAGTTCATATTTTTATTTATAAACTGATAAAATTAATATTTTTAAATAAAAAGTACAAGATTAATATCATGATTTATACACTTTCTCTTTCTAATTAAATGTTGCAGATGATTCATGGATATATCTATTGTACGCTTACAATTTCTTACTGGCTTAGGATGCATGGATCATGTAGTACTGAGACCAGTAAAATATGGCACACGGCACAAACGTGCTTAAATTGGATTTAAAATATTCCACAAAATTTTTTTTTGACTCAAATTCGTATCTTTGTCGACTGAAAATCTTTATTTTTGTTTCCTTCTCTCTCAACACGCAGGGATGAGTCTGAGTTGATCAAGAAAATCATTGTAGAGCTTCACAAGAAATTGCCCGTAAAAACCCCACTCCTCAAGAGTAGATTGTAATTCGAATCTTTCATGCTAAAAAAAATTAGAGCGAGGGGAGGTTACCTCAATCCAAGATCAGGCATACCGCCCGCCAATACGGGAAAGGACTTTTAGTAAAACTTACAGATTGTGTATCTATGAGGGATCAATCTCGTCTATTAATTTAAGGGTACTTTTTGTATTTTTCAAGACATCTTATGTAAATATATTCAAAAAACTGTGCTACTTTATGTAAAAAAAAAAAGTCCTATTTTAGTCTTTTTTTTTTTTTTTTTTTCGAAAGATAAAGAATTTCATTTTTTGAATATAAGTGTACTCAACCCAAGCAAACATAAAAGTTTACAAAAAAAACTGAATAATATATACTTGATTTTTATATTTATTTTAATTTAATTATTAAAATATAATATAAATACAACTAATTTAATTAATTCTTACACTCTAAACAGATCGGGATTGAGTAGCCAATTTGAAAAATAGAAGCTCAACCCATTCCCTCTATTTTTCAACCAATGGATTTACCTCACATGAATAAATCAAATATTTGATCTGTCAATATCTACTCCACTGTAGTTGGAGAAAATTCCAAGTCAACCCTTTCCCTTTCTTTAGTTTATTTAATATGATGGAGGAAATAAATCTTGGTGCATAGCTCATGTGGTTTTCATGTGAGAAGAGGTGTTTCACCCACACCATTAAGGTTTAAACCCCCTAGTTCCCAATTTCTCTTTCCTTCCCCCCAATTCC